GTGTTGTCAACCCTTGTGTGATTATGTACATATGTTGTATGCTGTGTCGCGTGGTTGGACCATAATGGGAACTGTGCACTTATCTCCAAGATGAAGAACACGATGTTTCAGATAGTAATTTTTGACATAGTTAGCAAATTTGTGGATTTGAACTCCATTTGAATGGAGTATGTGACATTTTTGTGACAATTGGGATATTTATGTGATCTTTTTCGAGAAACTGAATGAGTCAAATTTAACCTTGCAGAGGAGTAATGTTATACACTCTGAAAGTGGTCCAGAAGAGTTTAAAATACAAAAGAAGATTGGAAGTATGGGGAAGAAAAATAAAATTTGTGATAAGTTTGGTACAATTAGTATACCTGTGTGACATTTTTGAAAAACATAATGAGGTGAAGAAGAGTTGTATATATATATACAAGGAAAATGAATGAAGTTTAGGACATTTTTCAGACAATTAGCATACTGGTGCGACTTTTTTGATGAACCAAATGTGTCAAATTTCGTTTCTTTCTTCTAGGAAAAGAATGTATAAACACGTTTTGAATATGGTCAAGAAGAATTCAGAGTGCAGAAGAAAGTTGCAGTTGTGGAAGAGAAAAATGAACGAAGACAGTGACAGGGACCATTTTTCTCCATTGTGGTGTTTGCAAGATGAAATGAAATTCATCTTTCTTATAATGTGAAATGTACACGTGAAGAATACCTGTTATTCGCTTGATTCGAAAAATATTTTTAACACAGAAAGTATAAAAACGTTGATATTTAATGTTCATTTTAATTAAATGTCAATACATTAGTATAGCTAGTAACATTTTCTATTTTCTGATATTATTGTTATAGTAATTTAACAAAAAAAGAATTCCAAATCTGATTGCCACAAAATTCTATCTTTAATATAGGGATATAAACTATGAATTATAAAAATGATATTTTTATATATAATATAAAAATATGAAAATTATAAATATTATATAAAATATTATAATATAAAAATGATATAAAAATTATATTTATTTGAAAATATCAGGTTTTTAAATAATTTTGAGAATGACATATGATTAGTGAATTCATGTCAGTGACTAAGAATGTGTTTAAGGTTTCCTTTAAGTTCACTTTTGCAGAAGAAGAAGAAGTCTTGCTATAATACATTGTAAATTAAATTAGGCAATGTGAAACTGGTTGTCTGTTCTTAATAGTGGATAAATAATTACTGGTAATTGTAAGTAGAGTTCAAAAGATCCTAATTCCATTCACAGTGTCATGTGTTTGACTAGTTGAGTTTTCAATGGTGTACCATATGAAAATAAATGTGGTGTAAGACAATGGCGTAAGAAATTATGAAAGCAATTTTTGACGTTAAAAAATATACAAAAATACAAGAGTAAGGAAAAAAATACACAAATTATACATATGCGTAATTTTTGTAACACATACGTCAATTCTTTTACAAGATTAAATAGATAACGAATTTTGACTCACCAATATCTTAGATATGAAAACGAATTTTATTTCCTATATATGAGTATAGAATGGTTCCCATAGTTGTCGTCCAAGACCAGAAAAAATGGCTATGTCCATAGAATTTAACATAGCATATTACACATAGCATAACCCCATAGTACCTAAAATAAAAGTATCAAATTATAATTCTACATAAAATAAAAGTCACAAATTTAATTATTTAATGATAAATAAAATTAATACATAAAATTAAAGATATGTATCATAAAATAAATAATTATATGTAATATTATATACTGTAGTAAATAACTATATTTAATATTATAATAAATAATGTAGTGTAATATTACATATTACAGCTAGATATAAATGGATATAGAATAGATACAGATACAGATATAGATATAAAAGCCACAAATTTAATTATTAAATGATATAAAATTTATACGTATAATTAAAGATACATATCATAGAATAAATAATTGTATGTAATATTATATACTGTAGCAAATAATTAGATTTGATATTATAATAAATAATCACGTGTAATATTATATATTATAACTAGACACAAATAGATGTAGAATAGACATAGATATAAAAGCTACAAATTTAATTATTTAATGATATATAATTTATACGTATAATTAAAAATATATATCAGAAAATAAATAATTATATGTAATATTATTATATACTGTAGCAGATAACTATATTTGATATTATGATAAATAATCACGTATAATATTATATATTATAGCTATATATAATTGTTAATACGATCATACAAACACAGAGATCATACTGAATATAGACACACTACTACGTAAAAGATTGAAGTACGAAATTGAAGAGATTCAGTAATTTGACTTACGTACTTTGGCAAGTGTATCTCCAAACTGTAACTGACCTCATGGACCTTTTGATACGCATCTCACAATCGTATACGTCAAACCAAGTATCATAATTTCATGTTCCTCTCGTCCATCTCGAAGGTGCTGATATCGAGATTGATTTTTTGGGCGAATCAAAGTTCGTTTCTTGTTCAGTGGTTATTGTGATTCGTCCATTAGGCTGCACAAGGGGTACGTCTTTTCATGCCACGCTAGAATCAGAATTATTAAAAACATAACATTAATGAGTAGCTCGATAAATCGTATGTCAATTTTATCGAATTAATTATTTAATTGTTATTTGTTATTAATTAATTATTACAATGCAAGGGGGATACGAATGTATAGGTTTAAATTGTTTATATACGAGTAATACATTTTTATATTTTTATAAATTTATTGTTTAATTTTTTATTGTTAATAAAATAAAATCTGTAATCCTGTGGAAAAATAGATTACAAATATTTAAAGTTATATTTACTTGTATATTTTATAGCTTTCACTGAAATTACAAAATTTATAATTAAATAACGAGTAACACTATAAAATAGTAACACTGCATCGAAATTAAAATTAATAATAAAGAATCAAAATGATAGAAATTTAAAATTGGTTGCAGCACTGGTGGAAATCTAAAATTGGATAAATTGCTAATTTTATTACATATATAATTAAAGAAAGTTTTATTATAATATTAAAGGCTAATGTCTCGCACTGATAACAATATTTTTTAATTTTAATAATTTTTATAATTTTTGGATATTTTTTAATTTTAACAATTTTCCAAAATTGGATAAATTGCTAATTTTATTACATATATAATTAAAGAAAGCTTTATCATAATATTAAAGGCTCGAACTAATAACAATATTTTTCAATTTTAATAATTTTTCCAATTTTTCTCTTATACTCACAAGGATGTACACGTAAACAAGTATAAGGTAATTAATCTGAATAGGATTTATCTCGTATGTCAACAGTTTAACGTAATGGTCAAGCAACGAAATAGAAATGGATTTCAATTATTCACTCAAAATTAAGTTAATATCCTATAAACATCGTTGATGAAAGTTTCACAATGCCCAACACTATCTTTTCCACCGATGTTAATACTAATGCCACCTTTTTTGGAGAAATCTTGAGAAAGTGTCATCTGATAATTATATCAAGCGAACGCGATTTGTCTGTCGTATTTTTCCATTACTGATTATTTTTATCAACATTCGCCAAGTTTATCTAAATTAAGTTTCCTCAACCATAATTCTATCAGCGTTCGCAAATTACGAAAATGGACGAAAACATTCAGAACATAATCGTATAGTATAGCAACCAAATTGTACAACTGTAATGTAATTTAACACTTTTACTATGTACATAATTTTTCATCACATTTTCACATTATTACATTCACCAATGTACAACGAAGCTGAACTTTAAACAGCATTAAATAGCTTTGAATAACCTTTAAAGACCAAAGTATCATAGGTCAATGAATTCTTTTTCTAAAATGCACTCTTCGCTTACATAAAATATAAAATTCCATCGAAAAACACGAGTCATCTTAAAATCTCAGAGGCACGACTATCTATCAAAAATGTACGACTACCATAAAATGTCTCCCACGAAACAGGGTAAATTGTATTTGAAATATTTTTAATTTTAAAACAAACTATAAAATTATAGCTTTATATAACATTAATTATTTTAATTAATTATTTTACTAATTATATTATACAATATTAATTATAAAACAAACTATACTTGAGAAATAATCCAGTGCGAAACTTCAACTAGGACACCCTGTATATTTCCAAATTATCTAACCTCTCATAAAATGTCATAACTCCCAGAATTCATCTGTAATTAAGTATCAATTAATCCAAGCACAAGATCGATTAAAAACCTCCCTCTTTAATTAAAAAATATAATTTTATGGTCGTAAAGCTAAAACTTCGTAATTAATGTTACCTATTCAGAACACGCAGACAAATGTAACGACTAAATCAAGACAACAGCCAAAGGGATGAACCAAACAGCACTCTGTGTTCGCGAATGGCCAAAAGATCTGCAAGAGTGACGTGTAATCAAGAACGCGCAAAAGGATACACGAACCGAAAAGGGTAATTTCCTCTTTCATAAACACGAGCAGAAAAGCGATTCTGCTACTTTTCTTCCATCCATTTCCGTATCCGTAGCAGATTCTTTCCTCCCTTCGTTCTTATTTTAGTTTGTCTCGTCAGTCGCTCTTCTCCGAGCTGGGATTACCTCGATCACGTCTCATTGACGGACAGGAAGGCGGGAAAAACTCTATTTCCGGTTGTAGGTAACGAAGGCCGGCTGTAGCATGCACAATGGGGTGAAAGCGTGGGGTGCGAGAGGGATGGGTAGCAGTAGTATCTAATGTACCATCGTTTGTATCGAAGGAAGCTTGTTCACGGCGCTACAACTGTAGCATCGATAGACCCTTCGAGCTTTTTGGCCTCGGCCGATCCGCAGATTGCATTATGCACCCTTAAACCTGAACTCTGCTGCTTTTCGTTCAGAGGAGATTAGTTCGGGTACTTTGATCCCACTGCGTGCGGGGGATCAACGAATAGTTGTTGAGTTAATTTTGTATTGAGTTAATGTAGTTAATTCTGTGTATTATCTTAATTTTAACTTTGTGTTGTCTTGAGTTAAGGTAGTTAATTCTGCCACTGTGTAATCTTGGATTAATTGAGTTAAATTTGTCTCTGTGTTGTCTTGAGTTAAGGTAGTTAATTCTGCCACTGTGTAATCTTGGATTAATTGAGTTAAATTTGTCTCTGTGTTGTCTTGAGTTAATTGACTCAACTGTGTCCCTGTTATATCATCAGTTAGTGAAGTTAATTTTGGTTCTGAGTTATTTTGAATTACCTGAGTTAATTTTGGCTTTGTCTTGTCTTGAGTTAATGGAGTTAATTTTAACTTTGTGTTGTCTTGAGTTAAGGTAGTTAATTTTGCCACTGTGTAATCTTGAATTAATTGAGTTAAATTTGTCTCTACGTTGTCTTGAGTTAATTGACTCAACTGTGTCCCTGTTATATCATCAGTTAGTGAAGTTAATTTTGGTTCTGAGTTATTTTGAATTACCTGAGTTAATTTTGGCTCTGTCTTGTCTTGAGTTAATGGAGTTAATTTTGACTCTATATTGTCTTGAGTTAATGTAGTTAATTGTGCCTGCGTGCTATGTTGAATTAATGGACTTAATTTTGTCTCTGTGTTGTCATGAATTAATTGACTCAACTGTATTCCTGTTATATCTTCAGTTAGTGAAGTTAATTTTAGCTCTGAGTTCTTTTGAATTAATTGAGTTAATTTTGACTCTGTGTTGCCTAGAATTGATGTAGTTAATTGTGCCTCTGTGTGATCTTGAGTTAACTATCTTCTGTAATCGTCTGACTCCAATCCCATTGTAAATCGATGGAGTGAACCGAGACGTAGAATTCGCAAAACAACCATAAATGCAAATGAAGGGATTATTGATTAAACCAATCATATTATTTTTTACATATCAACCAATTTCTCTTTAAATCGTCATACATGCTAATTTTTCCTTATTACATAACAGTCTATCTCATAACTTACATTATTTAAGAATTCTTCATCTCTTTGTAACTATAGCACTGGCATAATTTTTTGTTTTCTATATTATCCATAATATGTTAATTTTTATCAGTATGGTATCATTTGCATTACTTTTGCTGTAACTAAATATTCATTTATTATAATTTTTTCCATCGCATTTCTTTGTAGAAATGACTATTAAATTTTTTATTCCTTAAAAGATATGGAAGCGTCTTATGAAATAATTATTTTCTGATCGACAAAACTAAAATAGCCCTATTTTAACGCTCTCCTCTCATACATAGATATATACAGAATAATAATACTGTATATATTAAATTAATAATAAAGTATATTATTATACAATTAAATCCCTAATTATTGCAATACTGTTATACGAGTGTATAATATATAATTAATTAATCTTACAAAATTCTGTAAATCAATGAAAGGTGTTCAAACTCCGTGCTTATGTTAATAGTTCACTATTTTAGCTCAGCGAAGAACACGCTGACACCATAAATGTAATGCCCTGTATTCACGAGAGAGACTTACGAGCGTCTGCGAACTACTTATGCGGTTGGTAGATCGATTATCAAAATTATTAAAGGTGATTTTAACATACTATTCGAGGCTGAAGACAGTATAGCACACGAGTCGATGCTCCCACAAGTACTCGAGCTTTCTGCCTGGAAATCAGCGCCCTGGAGATCAACCCCCACGTCGCGAGTACCTGGGGGTGACGAACAGGATAAATTGCACCGTCGCCTCTTACCTTGTTCATTCGACTAAGGTATACAACCGTGACAACGTCTTAACTCTTGGGTCTCAAAGAAGTCCATTCTTCGGTATTCTTAGACTAGTATCGAGTGACATATTTATCCAGTGGCATAGACAAGAAAGGAAAATTTGTTATAAAATAAATTAAAAATTTTGTAGAAGGTGCAAAACTTACAAAGATTGAAAATTCTAAATGGAAAAATATAAATAGGAAGTAAATGGAAGAATCATAGATGGAAAATTTATAAATTCAGGAATTATGAACAGAAAAATGGTAAATAGAAAAATTATAAATGAAAGGATTACGAATAGAAAATATAGAATGAGAAAAATCATAAATAATGAAAATTGTAAATAAAAAAATTATAAATAAATAAGTATGCAATTAAATAAACAAAAAATTGCACGAATTTCTTTGAAACCTAGTGCAAATGGTTGTTTCATAATTCTTATTAATATATTAGAAAAGTTTGGTGTCTTTCTTCAAACTTAAAAACTTAAATTACAATATTACTTAAAACTTTTGAAAACGTCGAAAATTTTTTATCAAAATATTATCGAAATGAAGAAATTATTATGGATATCATTACTGCTAATTTGAAATTAGGATTGAGAGGAAATTAGGAAAGAGATGGGAAATTGAAAGATAATTTACGTATGATGGAAAACGAATGAAATTGTAAATTGTAAATTGCGACGAAGATATAATAATTCAAAAGCAATATTCGCATGGCAGACTTGCGATATTTTGTAACAAATTACTGCCACGTTTAATATTTTAGACTTACTTAAATTGAAACTTCTATGCTATTTTATGACGCTATAAACGTCACAAATATCCTTTATAATATATCTTTAAACTAGACCAAAAGGTATAACATTTTCAACAACTGCGAGCTCAAGAATCTAAGTATACCTTTGAATCTGAACTTCTAAATGAAAATAAAAATTAAATTAAAAATATAATTTTCTACTCAAATAATGCAATATGTCATAAGCTTCTTATGACAATAGGCAGAAATTACTAAGAAATTAGAAGAAAATTATATAAAGAAATTAATAAGAAAAATAAAAGAATTTAATTAACAAATCAATAAGAAAAATATGTAAAGAAATGTAGAACGTAATAATTAACCATTTAAATATCAAAACTATAATTTTCCATACTATTTACTGTTCATTAAAGTTAATAAAAATTGAATGATATGAAATAAAAATATAATAAACTTTAATTTTAATTATAATAATAATCGCATTATTGCCTGTAAATTAATCGTATTGTAAGTGCATGACGTATTAAATAGCTGCATTAAATAAATATATAAGGAAAGAATAAGTATAATTATCAATTATTTGAGCAATAAAATTGTAATATTTTATATCAGTCTCTGCACTGTGAAACTAATTGTTACTCAACTAAATCTTAATCGAATCGTATTAATTAATTGTAGTATTTCATTTCATTTCATCTAATTTAATTTGCAATAATAATCGTACTGCTATCTTCGAATAAATTGCAGCCCAAGGAGATAGAGCAACGGATACGAGATAATGAGAAAGTCAGTTGATCAACGATCTTTTACGTCTACTGTGTGATAAACATAATATATTCGCCAAACACATGGCCTATCTATGGCGTTTTATCCGCGTTAAAAACTTATTTATTTCGTGCAACTGCAGACGATTCGATAAAATATCATTTGCACGGATAACGGATATAATCTCTACCAAAGTAGCACGGTTTACGCGCCATAAATGGTACTTTATCACTACCCTGTGCAATTGGACGATATAAATTCCGTGAAATATTTTCCACTTGTTATGCGAAACAGATAAAACCCTTTTGCATTTAACCTTTCGTATTCGAGCATTTTTTGATACAGGGAAGTAACAAAAGAAGTTTCGTTGTGAAATTTCGTTATATTTTGTTTTTGATTATAACGTCGATGATATTTTTCATAATAACATGAAAAGAAATTGCGTATAAAGTGGATGAAATTTTTGGCAATAATAAAGAAGGAAGTTGCGCGTAAATTAACGTATCAATTGTCTTGCAAAAAGGGCACCTGAGGTGGCCTCTCATTTGCTATCAGTTATTTATACGTTTTATTAAAAATAAATGTATAAATATAAAATCAAATATTCATTTTTTAATTATACAAAATACGCCAAAGATAATGAAATTTTGTACGATGTTCAAGATTAAGCCAGTTAAAATGGTTGATTTTAGGTATTTTATTCTTGCAATTATTGAAAATGTACAGTTATTTTTGATAAAATTTATTTTGATTTTTGTGTAAATAAAAACGTGATCATATGTACTTATTTATTTTTAGCAATTAAAGAGAAAGTCGGTTTTATATGTTACTTAAGATACATAATTGGCATCTAATTAGATTAAAATAAAATGTAATAGTGTGTAGTAGAATATTTAAAGAAGAGAAGCATGGAGAAAGTGCAATGGAGAAATATATGTTATAATAAAAATAATATTTGGTAAACAAATAAAGAGTGCCTAAAAATTTGTGCATCCTACATTAAATGATAAGAAAATACGAAAACAGAATGTTTACTCGAGACTGAGTGTATAAACGACAGCAAGATAAATAGAATGCAATTAAGTAGTCATAAAATTAATTAGTATATCTTTTATCACTTCGATTATTGGCAAATTACGTTCTTTACGAAAAGAGATATATTTCGTCAATTTGTGTTAATGTATCACGTAAAGATATGTAAGTAAACAACGTATTAATAATGGTATACTAATAAAAATTATTATTATTACTATTACTATTATTATTAATAAATTAATAAATGATGAATAATTGATAATAAATTAATAAATATATTATTTATTTTAATAAATAAATACATTAGCATTATTAATGAATTATTGATGAATTGCTGTTATTATTATTATTATTAAATCATCATTATCATTATTATTATTATTATTATATTCTATGTTTGGATATGCAGATAAATAGATTTATCTATTTACAGATAACTCTTAAATAACGTAGCTTTATAGATAGTAAATAACGTTCTAATCCCATAGCTATCATGAAAGGCAATCAAGCGAAAGGTATTATTACGCTGTGTACCTGATATAATTATTTAAATACCTGCTTTCTCGTTACTATTGATTCAACACTAGATATACAGCTAGTGGTACATTAATCCTTCAGACTCGACGGTATCTAAAGCGTTTACCTCCATGCCATTCAAGATTGAAATTTCAAACTTGTTGATAATTTATTACCTAAAGTCTTAATATGATTTAAAAATCTAATACTCAATATAACGTATTAATTCTGAACCGAACACGATAATTGTCTTCTAAAACATACATTTGATGCACACAAAAGAATTGGTCTCCTTTAAATATGCAATTTGAAAAGGAATTATGACGATATCTCCAGTAGTTTCGAAAATAAAAGATAGATTCGAACACAGCTATTTTCAACATGGAAAATTATTATATCCCCTCAATAAGGGGTAGCACCCTCCTCTTCTTCAGAAAAATTGACTACTACCAACTTTTATACTTAAAAATATTGCACCAGTCAAACGCATAAAAATTTTTAATCAATATTTAAAAAAGAAAAAAAAGAAACAGTGTAAACTGAAACAGTTTACACGTGACATTCTATATATTAATTATATAAGCTACATAAGTACATTATGCTGCATGCATTATAAACGTTCATCCATTATAATGTATAACATTTATTTATTACATAATCCCTGTACTGTAATATAGTATTTCCAACAAACTCTCCCAAATATCCCGCAGCCGCAAAAAAATTCATTGTTAACTTGGCAAAATCGAGGGTCCCTTTGCATAATCCCCATCCCGTCTCTTCCCCAGGAATCGTCCGCGAAATTCCACCCCTGCCCTCCCCCGCCCTTGTTTTTTCCCCGTTCCGCGCACGTACCAACAATGGGGGACGAATTAAATGACAATGCATATTAATTAACCCCC